ACATTTTTAATAAAGCTTAAATAAAATATAAATATTAGATGAAAATTCAAACTGACAAAAGAACATAACAGATTTCCTAAAAAATGAACTGAAATTAAAAAAGAAAACTGAAAATGTAAAATTAATAAAGAGCTGAATATTAGATGAAAACCTTAAACTAAATAACAATTTTGAAATACTTTCTTGGCAACGAACTGAAATAAAACTATAACTGAAAATACAAATAAATGACTATTTAGAAATATTAAAAACTAATAAAAATGACAATAGCACATAGCAAAATTCCTAAAAATTTAATTAAAATAAAAAATCACAATGAAAATACCAAAATTACTTAAAAGCTAATTTAACAGTAACTAACAGTATATAAATAATACTAAAATACACTTGTATGAGTGCTGGACTACAAGCTGCCTTTCCAGTATCTCCAACATTCATGTACAAATGTCACATTTGAACATTTTGCAGTGTATTTTAAATAGTGTTTAAAGAATAAAGTTCTAGTGCAAACATATTGGCAAATCTCACCTTGCACCTTGGTTTGATTTGAATACATCCCATCCAATTGGGCAGTCACATACAATCTAGCCTCAAAAGTTTAAATACTGCAACACATCTGAATTGTATCTGAAAAACCTGCATATATAATCAGAACTCCACGCAGCTTCCGTACTACTCTCTATTGTAAATGAATGACTTCCGGTCTGTTGTTTGTCAGAGATATTGAAAAGGTGGCTTTAGGGGTTAAGCAAAAAAAAAAAAAGAAAAGAAACATGATTATCTCTGTATCTCTGCAACCGTCTCAACACAGGCCTTAGATATACCAAGTTTCTCCAAAAGACAGGAAAAGCGAGAGGAAAATGAAAGGAGAGAGTAACGCTTCTTATTAGATTAAAGAGCCAATTATTGCTCTCATTTCACACTTTCCCCTTTTCTCATTAGTTGAGATTGTGGACTGTAAATGACATGCACAGTTAGTGATTCTCAAGGGCAATGAAATTATACAAATGACAACCCTATAAGAGAATTATTATAACGAAAATCATATGACTCTTTTTGACACAAAACTTTTTGTGAAAATAAGTATAATAAACCATGCAAGCCTATTCATTTAAACTTGCTTCTTAAAGGGATAGTTCACCTAAAAATGAAAATTCTGTCATTAATTACTAACCCTCATGTCGTTCCAAACCCGTAAGACCTCCGTTCATCTTCGGAACTCAAATTAAGATATTTTTGATGGAATCTGAGAGCTCTTTGACCCTCCCATAGACAGCAAGGGTACTACCACGATCAACATCCAGAAACGTAACAAGGAGTTATTCATATCGGTAAAATAATCCATGTGACATCAGGGGTTCAACCGTAATATTACGAAGCTACGAGAATACTTTTTGTGTGCAAAAAAATAAATAAAATAACGACTTTATTCAACAATTCGTCTCCTCCTAGCACCATTTTGGAGAGTATCCACTGAACGCAAACAGCGTATGTTGTTTTGTGTCAGCCGCACCACACAGATACATTTTCTACGTTGTTTGTGCTTTGATTTGAACAAAAACAACGTATCCGTGTGGTGCAAAGCATAAGCATTGATGAAGAATCAAACACGTAATACTGCAAGTTCATATTGAGCCAAAAAGCAAAGTTTAATAAATAGCATTAAGGCTATTTTGAGTAGTACTTTATAATAAAAAGATTTCAACTATGCTTTTAAGCTCTCAAGCCTCAAAGTGTTTGCCTTGAAAGTTTGCTCACCATACATTTCCTGTCATCCACTCCACTCAGATCTTCCTCAAACTCCTGACCCACCACAAAGTCCATGTTGTAGTTCCTGAAAGTGCTGAGAGTCTTTATGGTGAAGTGATCTCCATTCTGAGTGATGTCTTTATCAGGCTTCAGCAGGGTGGCAATCTTTCTAACAGCTACATTTACATCTGGAAAAGAAAATTATAGCCCCATGTGAAAATGTGAATTTCCCAGGATACCCTTTTAAAACAGTACAGTACTCCAGCAATACCACAGTACAGTCATTGTTACAGGTGGAAATAACATGGTACTTCAACACCATGATGAGACATGCACCATGGTATTTATATATTAATCCAAGGAATACCAAAGGTACATGTCCAATCTGCTGCTGCTTAATATAAACAGCAACATCTAGTAAAAAATGAGAAAAGGACAAAAATACTACATAGAAAACTACCATTTACCTTACAATTTACCATCACAACCATAGTAGGCCATACAGAGAGCCTCACTTTCACTAAAATCACTTAATAAAAACCGTTATTTTTGTTTCCATCTATGCAACACATAAACAGTGGATAAAATATAAATTTTCTACATTTATGCTAGGACAGTAAATCATCCAATTTTAACACTGATTTCACAATACATGCAGGACGATAGAGGAGGTCAAGTTCCTAAACTAAAATAAAAATAATTATACATAACAAAACCTGAGAAAACAGGTATATAACATGGTATTTAAGCTTGGAATTTGATTAGAAAAAGCTAAATGGTCACACTTGTAATTCTTCGCGGTCAGAATGACCACCATAGGAAATTAAAATAAATACAAATAATACGAAAATACTACAAATCTAGAAATCAGCCATGATTAAGTAGTCTTCGATAATGCCTAACTATACGAATGCAAAACCTGATAAAGTAATTATTTCTGAAAATACTCTTACAAGCCTTATGTATAGGCTATATACACATTGTTTTACATATGATAATATTTCTCCCAGCAGATGGCACCAATCTTGCTGCTACGCATTGTATTTTAATTCGTTTTTTCCTAACATTAGTTTAGATACAAATAAATAATTACTTAAAAAGAGGTGAAGATTGTCTAGTACCCACTCAAAATAGAAAATTTTAAAGAATAAATATTAAAACACAATACAGAAATATGGTAGCCCACATTTATTTAATTAAAAAGAATATTACACTTACATTGTCCTCAGGCTCGGTCTGTTTTGACCTCTGTGTAACCGCTAAGTGAGGAATACCAGAGGGTTTATCTAATGTTGTAAAAGAGCCACAAAACTCACCCAGAGCTTTCAGGTAGGCTACTCTTCAAAGTTCTCGTTGGAGATCATTTTCCAGTAGCCGTTGTAATCAGCAGTCATTTCGAATTACTCCACTGATGAGTTTGTTCAAGGAAGACCCGATCTCGCCGTTCCACTGCAAGCAAATGCTTTTCATCTGAAAGAAACCCTCATCATCATGATCCGATTACTGAATTTATTTTTTCTTATTTGTTATGGAAACCGTATCTCCGCCTCTAGAGTTTGGATCCATCATCTCAAACTTGGATGCGATATCACACCATGTAATTACATCACTTAAACTCTGTGATCGAGCGCTGTAGGGAATAGACCGGGGCTAGTTGTCACAATGGCTGCATCTCAGTAGCTATAATGTTTTGAGTGGCAAGTTCTCAAATGTTTTACATCTAAAGTAATCTATTATTCAATATTAATCATTAATATGTATTATTACAGACTTGAATTTTTTTCACTGAGCAAATTTTTTTTTTATCCACTTGATATTTGCTCTTCTCCAATATAGAAATAAGTCTAAAAAACAAGATTTGTGCCAACTCATTTTTTATTAGATTTTTTTCATGTCCACTATAATGGACACCAGGACTGAAGAAAAATAAAAATCCCCATATTTCAACCATACATAATAAGTAGAGCTTGTGCACTATAGTTGAACTAGTGTTTAAGATTTTGAAAAGAACACATACTATAAGAATTAACAATGCAGTATGAATGTGGAAAAAAAGGTAAGATGATATGCAGTCTCCAAAAAAACTGTTTGATCCTTTTTGTTGGTTGAAGTGGGTGAATCTGAGTATATGTATAAATGTCTTTGTGAATGGGCTTATGTGTACTTGCTGATTGTTTTGATGAATAGATGATTGTGTGCATTATAGCATCAAGGCATCAGTGTGTGTGGAGGGGGTGTGAGTGTGTGTGTTGCTGTGTATTCACTGATCTCACATCCACTATGGCTGTTTCTCACTAAAACCAATGAAAAGTTGATTGACAGGCTATGGTCAATTTGATGACAAATTAAATCATATTAATATTCATTTCATTAATTACCATCAATGTTCATAAAACATTAACATTAGAATTTGTAGCTCTGTATTTAGCTTTGAAATGCTTCCACAAATTTCTCAACCTGTTATACAACTAATTCATGAGGTGCTGCTGATATCTTTCAAGACCTGATGTCCATTGCGATGAACATTAAATTAAAAAAAAAAACCTGTGTTCTGCAACTCTGAAAGATCTTCAAAATAACTTTAAATATTATCATTTGATAGTCTTAATTTTATAATAGGTGCAAGTTGATGAGGCTACCATAAACTTAAATCTGCATATAAAAGGTAAAATGTGGACCTCCTCCTCTTCTTGTCTAGTTGGTTAGTCATGTCTCTTTTGTGATGCCTGTAGCTCAATCAGATTAAGTTAGGAGTCATATCTTCATTGTGATTGGCCAATCAGTGACCAGGCATGGCTCATATGATGAAAACATACAATTTTATTGGTTTAAACAAAAAAATCATGTGATGTCCATTTGCATTGTCCGAAGGGGTTAATAATGCAGTGTTTTACATGTTTGCAGTTTCATAATAGTTTTATTTTACTGTTTGAATTTCACTGAAAGGATTAGTCTGTTTAATGGTAGGTCCCATTGTGACAACTTACCCCATATAATGTGGCAACATGCTATTGATAATAATAATAAAAAAAACTCTTACACATAACAGATTTTTAAAAATAAAATAGCAACTAAAAACAGAATTTTAATTCAATTCTTAGAATAATGCACATAAAATACCCTTTTTGTAATATTTTATTGTTACAGGTTATGAACTCTTTATATTCTTGTAGACTTTATTGTGCATCTGTCTATTTGTTCTTCAAATAAAAGAAATGTAGGTTTCAACATGAATGATGCTTTCTGTGCAAATGGAAATGGAAGAAGCAATGTTTGCTCTCCAAAGTGTAAAGGCTCTGTTATTTATCTTCCTTGTGACATTCAGCAAAAGTCAACAAATCCCAGACCTGCCGAACATAGACCTACAGCTCTGCAGTGATCTGGCAAATCGAACTCCTGCAGAGACAGGATAAATTCCTAAATCCCTCTCTACACATTACACTAGGAAACCATGGTCATGGATAAAGCTCACTTTACACAAGACAAAATATGCAACTCTTCTAAAGCTGCTTTCACATCTTCAAAATGAAGAGTAAGAGAAAAATTTAATCTTTTGAAACATATTTTGCAATTACTTGTGACCAAGACCACTGAAGGCTATTTCCTGTACGTCAGTCTTGTATTGTTTGCATGGTAAGAGGTCGTAGTTTAACATCTTTGTTCTTCATCTCACTGTCTTGTGTATAAAGGTTGTGCTCTCTTATGTAATCAATGACTGAGTCTGGTAAGAGATATTTAACACTCTGGCCTCTCCGTAGGGCTCGTCGGACCTCTGTAGCACTGATCTCATTGTGGACCCACTCCCGAATGAGAAAAATGCGCCGCCGGTGCCTGGACAACAAGTCAGACTCGTGTATAGCCCGGTCTGGTTGCAGGCTACCTCTGCTCACACAGACCAGTCCAAAGCAGCCCACCACCTCCTCTACATGATCATCCCTCCACAGACCAGGAACCTTAAAGGTGTCCATGAAATCTGCTCCACAAAGCAGCTTCAGCTGAGGAACATCTGTACCCATTAAGTCGTGCTTGATATAAGATTAAATTGAATTGTCACTCCTTACATCTTCCAGTTAAAGTGTCTGATGATTTGAATTGGCACACACGGCTCTTCTGTACAAAGCAACGGTCATCTAGAAGTGTGGGACTAGTGTTGAATGAATTCCTCTGGCTTTTCTTTCAAGACAGCATGAATAAAGGCATTCTTTTAAAACCCAAACTCCACACAAAGACTGTCAGCAGGAGTGCTTCAACACTGCAAAAAACACCCTTAAAGCAACTAGCCGGTTTGAGTCAAAACTCACAGTCAGCGGTACAAGAAAAAAGAAGCGATTCAGACAGACATCGCCTCAAATATCCCAACCTACATTCTTCTAATTTTTATTAGAAAAAATAATAAAATTATTTTTCCCCCTCCACCGACAAAGCTTGATGAAACATCTTTAGGGATCTGCCAACATGAATGATGCTTTCTGTGCAAATGGAAATGGAAGAAGCAGTGTTTGCTCTCTAAAGTGTAAAGGCTCTGTTATTTATCTTCCTTGTGACATTCAGCAAAAGTCAACGTGATCATCCTTCCACAGACCAGGAACCTTAAAGGTGTCCATGAAATCTGCTCCACAAAGCAGCTTCAGCTGAGGAACATCTGTAGGGGAGAAAGTGATCACATTGTTGATTGTTTTTTTTATATAAATTAAACAAACAGGGTGCCTTCAGAGATTTCAAACAGCTGATAAAAACAGCCATTGGCAAGTGATGTAAATTTCTCCAACTCTGTTCCGATGAAGAATGTTTGACACTCCTTGAACCCATGCCTGAAATCTGCAAACATCTCAATTTGTCTTTCCTCAACGCTTCATTAGAATTCATACTCCCGAATGAGAAAAATGCGCCGCCGGTGCCTGGACAACAAGTCAGACTCGTGTATAGCCCGGTCTGGTTGCAGGCTACCTCTGCTCACACAGACCAGTCCAAAGCAGCCCACCACCTCCTCTACATGATCAGCCCTCCACAGACCAGGAACCTTAAAGGTGTCCATGAAATCTGCTCCACAAAGCAGCTTCAGCTGAGGAACATCTGTAGGGGAGAAAGTGATCACATTGTTGATTGTTTTTTTAATATAAATTAAACAAACAGTTCACCCAAAAATGAAAATTTGCTTAAAATGTGCTCATCTTCAGGCTATCCAAGAACAGAATTTGAGAAATTCATTACATCACTTGCTCCCCAATGGATCCTCTACAGTGAATGGGTGCCTTCTGAGATTTCAAACAGCTGATAAAAACATCCATTGGCAAGTGATGTAAATTTCTCCAACTCTGTTCCGATGAAGAATGTTTGACACTCCTTGAACCCATGCCTGAAATCTGCAAACATCTCAATTTGTCTTTCCTCAACGCTTCATTAGAATTCATTTCATGGCCAGCATTGCAAGGGCTCCACCTCAGCAGTGATATTTACAGGATATGAAAGAATCAATAGTGTGCTTTTAACTCTAGTTCTCTCACTATAACATGTGTCTGGGAGCTGGCTTTTGTTTGAGCAGACATGAATTGCAGGGGGCAGGAAATGAACCTCGGCGGCCCACTAAAGCTCTTTATTTCTACTCCATGTGGTTATAGATAGATCTAAAGAAATGTATGCGCACACTGCATGGGGATGAGGAAATACCACCCCTTTCATAACTATTCTAATAATGAATACATTCATGAAAAACACAGCAAAGAAAAGCATTGTGCACATTCCAATACAAACACTAATATTTCCAGACAATCATCTATGGCTTAATAAGAGCCAGATTCCTTTGAATTGCCTAAATGGGGTTTGCATGAAAGCAATTTAATAAAAAATAATCCCTGAGATAATTCAACATGAAATCTAAAATTAAACGGATCTCTTTCTTTGAAAATGTCAATGCTTTTCAACGTCTTTTAAGCTAATTCCGACTGATGTGTTTATTAATCATTGTAACAGAAGGATGAATAGGAGTTTCTTTATGTAATATTCAGTTCAAGGCAGTAACTGTTTGTTATTAGAAAGACAAAAAGTTGTAAAAGTTACATTTTTAGGCTGGTCTGCCTGAGAGGTCTAACAGTGCTCGTCAGTCAAAGTGATTAAGACGGCCAATCAAAATCAAAGAAAGTGAAAGAGTCTAATTAGCTGAACATTCAATATATGACAACTGTTTTATGAATTGAAATATAGGCTGAATCATTTGTGTGATTAATGTAATTTAACATATTAGGCATACCAATAAGAGTGAATGTGTCCATATTAAAAAATATATATATTTGAAATAGCTAAAATTCATCCTTCACAAAAATTCAGTTCTTTCTTTTTATTCATTTCCTTAAATTCATTTAAATCCTTTAAATCTTTAATTCCTTTAAATAAAAAGGCCATTACTACCCTCCCCCTTCCAAAAAAAAAAAGTTCACCCCCATGTTTAAAACATGGTTACATCCTTGATTCAGTCCACTGTCAAACAAAATAAATTACACAAGAAAAAATAGCATTAGAACAAGGAGTTTGCACTGAATAAAGGAATAAAGGTTTTGAGATAACAGGGTATTTGTCTGCATGTGTTCTATCATTCTTGGCACTTGTCTTGTTATAAAGTTGTCCTGGCTATTAATCTCAGCTTCATTAACAGTCTGGGCACGCTTGTCTTAAGCTCAGTCATCCTGTGGAGGGTATTAGGCTTCATTAGCATGCTCCTCTACAGCAACCTCAAATAAAAGCAATGTTGAAAAGAGGCCTAACAGCACTTTTGCTGGCCAGAGAGAAGACAACAGCCTGTTTTAAATGCATCAGACTTATCTAAAGTGATTAGCAAAGACAGAAAAAGGCTCTGTTGGGCCAGAGAGGAGGCTTAGAGGAATCTGAATTGTGATGAGAGGTTTCTGTGCCAATTTTATAAAGACATATTGAGATGTGGGTGGAGCTTACCAGAGGCTGTGGGCGGGTCCTTGCTGTTGTGGTACTGGGCAGCTATGCGGTCATAGTGGTACCTGTGTTAAGTGAGGCAGGGAGAAACAAACACAACAGATCAGCAACGGTGAGCATGAACGGCCATACAGTGTAGGTAATCAGCTTATGAATGTAGGAGAAGCTTTACATTCATACAGAATTACATGAGCCTATACAGTAGATATCGCAACTTCTGCAATTTCTCACAAAAGGCTATAATCAGCTTTGTTGTTGCTTAAATGCAGATAGTAGTGTGCAACCTCTACAAGGAGATTATTGAGTTAACGATCACCCCCATGTATGTGTGTGTTTAATGTATAAAGTGAATAGCGGACTTTAAGGTATAAGAGCTTGTGCATGATACAGTGTACAGTGTGGAATGAACCAATAGCAGAACCAACCAGGGCTGTGCACCATTCAGAATTTGAATTGAATTTGAACTGAGGTAGCCAAAAAGGATGTAGAATTGTTTAGATAGATAGATAGATAGATAGAATGACAGAACGATAGATAGATAGATAGAACGATAGATAGAACGATACATAGATATTCAGTGTCACACGATCCTTCATAGTTCTAATATGCTGACAGACAAACAGATAGACATAGATAGATAGATAGATAGATAGAATGACAGAACGATAGACAGAATGACAAATAGATTTTATGATTCTTTGATGAATAGAAAGTTTAAAAGCACAGCATTTATTTGAATTTTTTTTCATTTTTGATCAATTTGATATATGCTGGTTGAATCTACTTTTGAACGGTAGATAGAATGATGAAGATAGATAGATAAATCTCATTGCTATGCATTCTCTATGTGAAGGATACATGCAATGCTGGTACAATTTGACCAAAATGACTCTTATAAGGCACCTACCTTCTTTGAAGGCAGCAGAAGCCTGTGTCAGAAGTGCACCTTGTTGCTTCCTATGCTGAATAGATTTTGTAACAGAGCCTGTATGTATGCAGCATAGCACTACTGTATGTCCTTTAAAAATAGCATAAATTCAACCTGGTAATTTATCACATAGGTCAACTGCAAGGGCATATAATCAATTGTGCAATTTTGTCCAATTCTGCCAGGAAGTAAATAACGAACCTAGAAATACAAAGCCCTGGCACAGGCCCCTGGCGCAAGAGCAGCCATCCTCCTCCCTGGCATCGGAGCATTAATTAGCCACCTAAGGGCATAGCTAGCAGTTGGCATAAAACTAAATTTGAGTGCTCTGAGGGGTCCTTAAACAGTCTCTTGTTACTTTAATATATCTTGAGGGATTCAAGAGGAGGAATGGCACATCACGACGAAAAGAGGGGACAAGAATTTGGCACGGTTGCAAAACGAAAATCACTAGCAGCCAAATACTAAAGGATGATGGGATGTTTCATGTTTTCTGTGGCAGAATCTGAGGAGAATGTAAACTGTGGCCGTTATGATGGATAGTAGGGCTGGAATGAGTCACGTCAGCGCCTGGCTATTTGATATCTGTTACACAGGGAATTTAAGGATTCGGCTCCTATAAAGTTTTGGCTTTAGTTCAGGTATTTCGAAGATGACAGTGAGTTTGTGAAGTCCTTCACAGAGGGTAATGCAAGGTGAATTCACATATAAAGGCAACATATAAAATATAAATGCAGCATGAAATATTTCTACAGTAAAGATTGAATTTCTATATTCCATACCTATATACTTTGCCAATGTTTGTCATTCTTTTATCTTCTTCTTGTATATATTGCACTATATAAATGAGACTTCTGGGTATTCATTTGTGAGATATGACACTCTTTAAGCCCTAATGTGCACCATCAGTTCATCTAAGAGAAGAATAAGCCAATATCAGACATAACTGTATGCCGTATCATAAACTATCATTCATTTTAATAACGCCAGTATGTTTAAAATTTGAACAGTGCTTTTGAAGTAAAGAAAAAAGGCAACTTTCCTATCATCGAAGATGACTCTATCGCTGCACTTCTGAGCAGTTCCTGGGATAATGGAAGTGCAATCAGCATTTAGCACCCCATCTGTCAAAACCGGTTAATGTTTCCTTTACAGCCAGTGTCCCAGTTGTGTTAAAAGACTCAAAAGTTACTTGCCTCGTCAAACTTTTGACTGGATAAATGATTTGCGCTAGTCATGGTAAGAAGCCAATGCAGAATACTTTTCTAAAATTGTTCTTTATATTTATATTCACCTCATCGTCACCACAGTCTCTGTCCAATCTGCCTGCTGGCTCTCCCAGTCATCTACAGAAACCCAGTGAGAGCTCTGCAGGGCCAGTCTTGCCATAGCAAGTCGATGTTTAGAAGCAACAAGACCCTGTTTACCATAATTATCACCGACAGGAGATACAATGCCACCAACCACACGATACAGACCTGCAAAATGGAGAGAGACAACATATCTGACCCAAAAAGAGTGAAGTAGATGACAAATTAGATGTCAAATATAAAACAAATCACAGTTCCTGTAGCTCAAACAGTAATACAATGCCAACAACATAGGTTCTATTCCTAGGAAATGCATAAACTGATAAAATGTGTACCATGAATGCAATACAATAGAGGGTTTTGGATTAAAGGAATAGTTAACCCATAAATGAAAATTTGCTCACCCTCAGGCCATCTAGGATGTAGATGAGTTTGTTTCTTCATCGGAAACAGGAGAAATTTGGCATCACATCACTTCCTCACCAATTGATCCTCTGCAGTGAATGGGTGCCATCAGAATGAGCGCTCAAACAGCTGATAAAAACACAATAATCCACACAACTCCAGGCCATAAATCAACATTTGGGAAGCGACAGGTTGTGTGTTTGTAATAAACAAAACCATCAAGACATTTTTAACTTCAAAACGTTGCTTTCAACTAAACTATGAGTCCTCTATAAAACAAAAACTGTCCAAAACGGTTCTAAACAAATAAGTTTAATAAATAAATAAAGATTTTGATGTGAGAAGACAACAGGGGATGAACTTTTTCACTGAAGAAATTATTATGGACTGGTATTTTATCCAGGAGCGACGGTTTAAAGTCAAAACATCTTAAAGATGGATTTGTTACTTATGAACAAGCAGCTTTTCGTTTTTGGCATCACATCACTTCCTCACCAATTGATCCTCTGCAGTGAATGGGTGCCATCAGAATGAGCGCTCAAACAGCTGATAAAAACACAATAATCCACACAACTCCAGGCCATAAATCAACATTTGGCGAGCGACAGGTTGTGTGTTTGTAATAGACAAAACCATCAAGACATTTTTAACTTCAAAACGTTGCTTTCAACTAAACTATGAGTCCTCTATAAAACAAAAACTGTCCAAAACGGTTCTAAACAAATAAGTTTAATAAATAAATAAAGATTTTGATGTGAGAAGACAACAGGGGATGAACTTTTTCACTGAAGAAATTGTTATTATGGACTGGTATTTTATCCAGGAGCGACGGTTTAAAGTCAAAACATCTTAAAGATGGATTTGTTAATTATGAACAAGCAGCTTTTCGTTTCATTAAGACATGAATTGATGGACTGTAGTGTCGTGTAGATTACTTGCAGATTATTGTGATATTTTTATCAGCTGTTTGAACTCATTCTGACGGCATCCATTCACTGCTATTGGTGAGCAACTGATGTAATCTTACATTTTTTCCATATCTGTTCTGATGAAGAATCAAACTCATCTACATCTTATCATCTAGTAAATTTTCAGCAAATTTTTATTTTTGCTTGAACTATTCCTCTGAAGTACCGGCCATATGAATAAAATGTAAATAATTGTCAGATTATTAAACAGTCATTGATTCCTTTTCTAAGTGCAACAGCCCTGCAAAAGTTTCTAAGCCACTGCACACAAATGAACACAAGCTTTGCATACACAGGTGGACTCTAATGAGTTGCTGAATGCTTAATGTTTTTGCCAAATAATGCTGTAATTTTGCATAGTCAAGATGAATTCACATCATACTGCAAATGTTTTTGCAGTTTCTCATTTAGCTGTGCATGCAAGACATTATAAACCAGAATTAATCAATAAAATTTGTTTTTAAAAATCTGTTTTAATCTTTCATAAAAATGGCAACAAACCACAAACAAGTCTCCAGGCACTCTTGAGGTAATATAAGACGCAAGCTATTTTGGCTACTTGATATGCTATTTCTGCAAGCAATTTTTGAGTACACTTTGTACAGTAAATAAACACAAGCAAAAATGTCAGCATGCCAGCACCATGCAGAGTCTTTTAAGAGGTGCAGTTACACTACGTCTACACTGCAAGCTAGTGGTGGAACACAACAAATTGTTCCAATCATAAACAACAAAACTTGAAATGCTTGCTTGCATTGTAGACACGGTGTTACAGCAGCTACAAAGCCATTTTTTTTGCTTGTGACCCTCGGGTATGAACTTGTACAAGTATACTTTCACTGAGAACAGGTCAGCTGATGTTGTATCTAATGCAAAGGCACTGCTAAGAGTGTTAAACATTCAAACTTTACATTTGACACTCATTTCTTACAGCCTGAAGAACAGCCTCTGAACAATAAAGATATATTTAACTTTATACTGTATCATATTTGATACACATATTCCTTAGATAAAGATAAGAAATTTTAGATAAAACCGTCAGACCATCAAATATGATACATCAGGTTTCTGAGGAATTTTTATTTTTACATCTCTCAATCATAATTGTATCGCATTGCATTATATGTTCCCCCCCCCACAATAACAGCTACAGAGCTTTGATCATAAATGCTTGATCATGCATTTAAATATCATCTTACTAAGACATTATTGGTAGATTTTTACATGGGTGATATTTATATGCATTTTATGTATGCAGTCTATTAAACTGTTACAAAATCTCCTTGATTTACATTACAAGAATTTCTTACTTTTTGGCCATAAAAATATCAGAAAATGCACCAATTTGCATATTTTTGCTCAGTTTGAGCCTCTGTTTTTTTCCACCTTGAGTATGAGCTCCATATTCTCCCATATCATATTATATGAGCCATAAAAGCCTAATGTATCAATTAAATACTAAAAGACGCAAGCTATTTTGGCTACTTGATATGCTATTTCTGCAAGCAATTTTTGAGTACACTTTGTACAGTAAATAAACACAAGCAAAAATGTCAGCATGCCAGCACCATGCAGAGTCTTTTAAGAGGTGCAGTTACACTACGTCTACACTGCAAGCTAGTGGTGGAACACAACAAATTGTTTCAATCATAACCAACAAAACTTGAAATGCTTGCTTGCATTGCAGAACATGCCATTTTCTGTTATCAGGCCAAAATTGGCATCCTTTCCAATGTCCCTCTGAGCCTGTCGCTTTAAAGTGATTTCTGTTATATAACTGCATTTCGTTTTTTAATTCTAGTCTAAAGTATGTCTAAATCTATTAACCTTATAAGGCCAGACATATGAAATAATAGTTAGAAAAATAAATATATATATATACAAAATGCAGTTATATAACAGAAATCACTTTAAAGCGACAGGCTCAGAGGGACATTGGAAAGGATGCCAATTTTGGCCTGATAACAGATGATGGCCAATTTCAGGTAAATGAACAGGTGGCACCAACCCGTCTGGTGCATGTGGTCTCTGGCCAGCTCAAACAGCCGCATGTGCTGGTGGGTAATGGGGTTGAAGGAGCCACAGGCCAGCAAAACCAGAGGAATACGGCCAGCCATTTCAGTGTTTCACAGCATAGTAAACACGATAACACTACAATAAACAAAAAGACATTTCTTAATCACATTGCAGCTTATATTTGCAATACGAGCACAAAACTAAATGTTTTGCTATAAAATGAGAGTACTATTTGGGAACAAATTATGTTATTTATAGACAATTTATAATGTTCACAAGTGGGATAAATGAGAGCTATACATACAGTGTGATAAAATTTAAAACCAAATAAGCTAAAGTACCATGCCTGAACTTGACTTTGCTCTGTCCTGCATTGGAAACCCTGTGAATTATTGATTATTATAACTGTAGGCCATTAGCGTGTAGATCCTGCACACTTTAACCTTGAATACATGTGACTGGAATTAGTCTTATTAGGCTACTAGTTGTCATGTTTTGTACATGGAAGCAAGTGGCATTTATTAATGATGTTGTTCATTATTTCCAGTTAAAATCTTCTTTCTTATTTAGTGCCTGAGAAATCCCTTATTGCACACTGAAAAAGCTTTAATTTATCTAAATGTAACATACTCTTACTGTAGATAATGTAATAAATAGGCTGTTTTGGCACTGGACTGATCTGTTTGTCAAGTCAAGCCAAAGTAAACAGTGGAACAAGTGCAAATTACACACTGGACAAGGCACATTTTTTTGACAAAATTACAGTCTAAACCATACCCTGTAAACATACACCTATTATTTATTAAAACAGGTAAATAGATGGATGGATGCAGAATACATATTGTGTACATTCCTAATAATAAAACTGTGCAGGTACAAGGATGAGAACAGACAAGTATTTTTGTTTAAGGATTACAACGAAGGATAAATAAGGTATGAACATAAAAATTACACATACTAACATAATGTGACCCAACTAAAACACATAAAGTGACTTAAAACACATGGGGGGAAAAAGAAAAGAAAAGAAGAAGCTGGTCCAGTGAGTGAAAAGATTCAATGAAAAACTATAGCAGTCATGGGCACCTATGGTATAACCATTGCACATTGATGAAATCAGATGGTGCTTTGATATATGATACTAAATGAAAACTATATTCAGGTATTCACATGATATTCCAAGGTATTCTACCATGGAATACTACCATGTCAAAAACCAGTATAATACGGAGTAGCAAAATTACCAAAAAGATTTAGTGAGTTTGACAGCTGCCAGTAAACCCAGTTTTTTAAGACTGTTTCTGTGTAATGTTAGTTTTGGATTATGGCATTTACAAAACAGCTTTAAAAGTATTTACTAAGGTTATGACTTCGGCAGATGTTATTATCTGACAAATATGCTAATAAACAAAATGTTTAAGCTGTATGTGTTTACCTTATCCAAAGCTCCCTCCAAGTTTATGCAAATGCTACATGCTATATCGTTAGCCGTATGTTACACTATTAATGTCCCCCAGAACATTGAGATAGAAAAACACAGTTCCCATCATTATGTGCGACAGCAGCCACTAGTGGTCAAAAACAAAAAAGATCAGTACATTTAATAAGAGACCATTGAATCCACACTGTATTTAATCATAATAACGGACCTCGTTCGCTCTAACTGTACCTTTAATGACAAGGACTCGTTCAAAGTCAAAAGATATGAACAGTCTGTCCTTTATCTGATGGAGCAAGTCTTGAGGATGATGAAAGTTCTCAGCGGGCACGATTCTGAACGGAAGGCGATCTTAAAAGCATTCTATTATCCCTTTAAAGGTCTAATATGAAGTGAATTATATTCATGTGGAACTGTGATTCTGTATATCACAGACTGTAATGGGGCGCAAAAGACATTGATAATGGCTCTATTGAAACAGTTACTTTACATAGGCTATGGATATGGATATCGTCTACCTTCTCTTTTTCCTATCTTAGTCCTTCATGCATTATGTATTACCTTTTTAACATAAATATATAACCTGCGGGAGGGAGAAAAAGCTTTTTCTAATCACCCTTCAAGGAGACTTTCTGTTGCCCTTCAAAAAGGCACTTTGCACAAAAACTACCCTAATTAGCTACTAAAGGGGAAATGGGCTGTAAAGATCCATACTTTGAGCCTGCTCTGGCTAATGTGACCAATGTTGTACTACACTAATGGAGTCATATTCTTTGTGTTGCATCACACAGAGATGATGAGCACAGCGATATTTGCTCTTTTGCGCTAGTCCTATACATCCCTAGAAATCAGACAACATATCTGCCTTATGAATCGAATATGTTTGGCCTCGAATGTGTTATCTATTCTCTTTGAATCTGCATTTTTGCATCATGTATGCCTACAGATGGAGATAGGCCTGTCTACCTAAAATACAAAATTAAACTGTAAATTAAAGCATAAATCAGTACTACACTGTTTGTTTGTCTGATCATAAAAAGTGTGCCACCCTACGACAACAAAATGCCCGCGTGTCATTGTGATGTCACTGAGATTGGTTGTGTGTATTTGACTGACCGTTTAGGCGCGTAACAGAAGACAAAGGCTATGTTTTTCCATGTTCTGCTCGGTTCTTCAAGACATAACATTTTTTATGTCAGTTACAAAAAGGTAGATTGGTCTAATTTGAATCCAAAAAGTAAGGCTGAGTACCCCTTGGCGTACTGCTAGCTGGTCAAACTAGTTCTTAAGACACAGTCTTAACAGAGTGGTTTATGCAACTGGCCCCGTTCTATTCTGTGTTTACTTATTTGTGTATTTACTCATGTTCAGTGTAAATTATCATTTACTTATGTATTCAGCTAATAACTGTTAATAACCATTAACAAGTGTTGTTAGAGCACTGTCATTTTTGCTACAATTTCATGTCAATAAGAAATAAAAGTACCTAAATGACACAACATGTTGTCGTTTTTTTACGTAAAACCCTAATAGAAGCTACAATAAATTATAAAACAGATAGAGGGTTATAGACCATATTAATAATATGCTAAAAATAATGAAAATAAAGTATTATTAAAAAGGTTCTTTACAACACTATTAGCATCCTAGAAAGCATTTTCAAAGTACGGTTCTATTCAACAACAAAAAGGGTTCTGTTTTTGTTACAGGTCGAAGAACCCTAATCTGGCACTGTTTAGAAACATTGTTCTTAAGAGTATAGGACTGCCATCCAAATGAGAATGTCTCTTTTCTATTTCTGACTCACTCATTCCTTTGCAAAGTGATCCCAAGTAGTTTCTAGGCCAGGGGTGTCAAACTCAGTTCCTGGAGGGTCACAGACCTGCACAGTTTAGATTTAACCCTAACTAAACACACCTGATCCAGCTAATCAAGTCATTTAGACTTATTTGAAAACTACATGGTATGTGTGTTGGAGTAGTGTTGGAACTAAACTCTGCACGGCTGCGGCCCTCCAGGAACCGAGTTTGACACCCCTGTTCTAGGCAGTAATTAATCGCAAACGACTCTAGGGTGACCCCTCTTGGGAGGCAGGTAGTACTGCCACAGATACTGAGAACTCTCCAAGGTGCTGAAAAGATTGACTCCATGAGCAAATGATGGATTCAGAGTCTAACCGAGGCAGTGAAAAAAACACATAAAGCAAATAAAAAATGTAATATCTGTGGATGATGCATCACCTCAATGGTGGATCCTAAGAGTGATTCCTGCAAAAGAGGAGTTCAGACTTCATTTATACAGATTGCTCTCATAAGATTTTAAATAGAATTGGAATTCATTATTTAGAGAGCTCCATAATAGCAAAAGACACAGCTAAGACATATTACAGCGATGCCTGTAGAATATTACAAGACTGGAGAGAGATGTGGGTAATACGACACAAAGATTGAATAGCATTATTGAAAACAGGTATTAGCCTTTGTGTCAAGTGACATGAAATGTTGATGTAAATTTATATACATATATTTAGATTTTTATTCAACAATTACTTTCAGTCTTTGCATCTGATTAGTCAAGTAGCGTTCAACTACATTGACTTTTGAATATTTAACTATAGCTTGTCTACTGAGTTTGTGTTTTCCAGGCCAGTGTTGCCATTTAACTTAATTAAAACTAATAAAAATAGATGAAAACTTAAAAAACCTAAACAAAAATAGGAAATGTTGACATAGCAATTAACTGAAATAAACAGGTTTAAGCTTAAGTACAAAAGAAAAAAAAGAAAGAGAAAGAAAACTAGTGGAAATGACAAAAGCACATAAAACATATGAAAATTAATAAATAAAATAAAAAAACAATAAAAAATATCAATAAATACTATAATAGTATATAAATAATACTAAAAAAATTACACTGTTCAAAATAGATCAGTCTAAGTGATGGGAACTTTTAAGTGACTCTTTCTACAGTTACATCGTTACGCCAGAAGGCAACAAGCGATTGTCTTTGTAAGTGAATGATTGACTCAGTCAATCAGCTGATTCATTCAAAAACACTGATTTATTCAACAATGAAATGCAGAGGTGAGTCATTCAATCATTTGTTCAATAGATTCGTTCATTCGTTCGCACATTCAGAGACGAAACACAATTGTTTGAAGAGAAACATTCATTCGGCCGTGGCTTCGCTTGGAACTATTTATGTTGCAAAAAGAGACTTTTTGAGAGTCTTCTGTAAGTCACCCAATATTACCTTTTGTATTTTGACTTGCTCTGTGTATATCATGTAAATAATGATCAACATTAGCCTACATATTTCGAAAGAGTAAAACTCTTTCCAGTTAGCATGTTAGCATAATCTGAACATACAGGCAACTAATAAGAATGAGAATTGAGAATCCATGTATTTTCAGTTAAGTCAAGTACTTTCCACATTTAGCTCATTGTAAAAGTTCAAGTTTTACCTTATCTCATTGCTGTCTTCAATTTTGTAAAGCCGTAGTTATTAATGGTATAATCGCCAAGGTTGGTGCTGGCCGTATCACTTGAAAAACATATCTTTGAAAAGAACAGTGCACAAAGTGACAATACAGTGTTGTTGCTTCTGTTGATGCATTAAGATCCTGCTAGTGGAGTAATTAAAGATCGCAATCCGAAACTGTGGATCTCTGCAAAACCTCAGCAAGACTGTATAGGCCTACATCATCTAATACAGTGGCAGATAACCTGCTTCAGGCATCAGCACGAGCAGGTTCCTCTCACAGAGAACTCAGCTCTTTCCTCTCATGTCTGCTCTGCGTTGGATGTTTAGACTTGCAGATGCGTTGATAAAAGAGTGAAGAAGCTTTCACCTAGAGCAAATTTACTCAACAGAATGCATTCTCTAAAAATGCAACAAGCCAAACGATTGAAATGAATGAGCACAAATGTTTTTCCAGTCTATCAGCTGTGCAGGTAAATTAGGTTTGAGGAAGACTGGGGAAATAATATGGCATTTTAAACCAGCTCATTTTTTTCAAGCAACTAAAACTATTATCAGAAATTCCCCCGGGCTTCTGCAAAATTGACATTTAACTAAGAAAAAATAGGAAATAAAATGAGCGAAAGAATGGGTAGTGGGTTAGAATTTTAAATGGATTTCTAAAAAGTTTTCTTTCTCCATTGTGATGAAACTGCATTTAAAAGACTGACGTTTACAGGCATTTATAATTTACCTCCTACTAAATGATTTCCTTATCTTGACTTCCCATATTTACATAATGCATTCTATAACAGATCTCAATCAATGCATAAGTAAGATTTCTGCATTTCTTATATTGCACTTTCCAAAGTCTAAATGTTTTACATACATTTTAAATGTTTTAAAAATGTATACACAGGAAGATGTTATTTACAGTGTTTTGATATCTTGAATTGAACCTAGGTAGAGCTCTCAAGAGAGGTGGAACTGAGAAGACCTAGAGTTCATGGCTGAACGCTCATTAAAAGCTTTCCTTGTCAACCTGGGCACATGGGAAGTCCACAGTCCACACACTCTTTTTTTTTTTTACCTCAGCTGACAAATCTCATTTCACCTGAGGGAAAATCTTAGTTAGGGCATGAGCCGCCATCAGAAATGAAAATGTTTGATCTTCAGAATACACTCTGCATGTGAAATGGGAGTTTTTACAGGTAAGTCAGGATTTAGTACACATATGGTTAATGCATGGGAGGAAACGGAGAGGTAATTTTCAGGGACAACCATGAAAAAAAGGAAATTAATATGGATTGAATATGGTCTTACTGAAAATGGATTACCACAGCTCAAAAAAACGGCATTTTAAATCAGTGTGACTTTTCAAAACGCAACATAATTATAAGAAATTCTGTTAAATCCCAAGCGTGAACAAACAGTGTGAGAATTTTACAACTTTGGTTTGCAGCCTTTGATGTCCACCAAGTTGTTGTCTGTCTGTAAGTCGGGTTACATGGTAACCACGATACACCAAAATACTAGACATACTTCAAATTGCTTTTGTATATTCCTAAAAATACTGATAACCACCATAATTGTACAGGTGGTAAAACACAAAAACACCATCAGGGTAACACAGGTTATTTACACATAAATATAATGTGCATTTTCAGTGGATTTTCACCATAAGCTATGTGCTACTTAATACTTTCTACTGGCAAAAAACATAATTTTACAGTCAAATGTTACATGTATTATATTTTTCACTGTATATGATAAGGGAACTTACAGTTAACCAATTACAATTTTTATAATAACTGTGTATTTGCATTTTTTTATAAGATTGTTTTACTGTATATGAAAGTTTTTTAATATTCTAGGATTTACAACTACTTTAGGTCATTTTATCATAATTTTATCATAGCCAATGAAATGCAAACATGATTATGAACCATAGAGAAAAATTCCCAGCACTGTTGTTTTTGTTATTGTTTTTCATTTTTAATGTGCCTGGAAGGCACAGATGCCCACCTTGGGAGGAGTCTTGTCATTGGATTAAGATAATGATAATATCAATAATAAATGAAAGGGATGTTTGGACAAAATACTGTGTGTTTATACTGGGCTACCTCAGTCTGAAAAAATTAAAAGAAAGAAATAGTTTAAAAAACGACCAGTAAGCACAAACGTAAATCAATTTCTAATATCACTTTTAAAACATGAAAAATATCAAATAAAAAATTCACCAGAATAGTATTTAGACAGGGAGTGAATAAATGCCTTATCATGGGTCAAGATTAATTGCTCGGGGAGTGACGTAGCAGCCTGATCCTGGGGGGTTAACTCGCGCAACGCACAGACACACAGACCGCGTTACCTCGTGCGCTCGGACCGCGTCTCGCGCAGCTGGGAGTTCACTAGCGAGACTTCAGTTCACCGTCGTTCAAGGACAGATAAAACCAAAGAGTGGTGTTTTTTCAGATTAACAGAGGAAGAATTAGGTCATCGCGTTCTGGTCGAAGTGTTGGGCTCATCATGAAGATGTGCGTGATAACAGCGATGCTTTTCCTGGTGCTCTCCGGGCAGTGCGGCATCCTGGCTGGGAAAGGTAAGGCAGATCGGACAACTTGGAATGTCACCGCATGAAAAGAAACGCCTGGCACTTAGATCAGTGTCTTAGATCATATGTGATCAATTACTCTTAGTTTGCAGAATTCACAGCGGCAGTGACAGGCTGAGAGTGTCTTAAATCAGGTTGGCAAGACATATGTCCTTACGTAGTACAAGTTTGTCTTTCTTTCTCCCGTTTTCTTAATGATGAACCTTTATTTAACACACTTCAACGAGATCATCAGCATCTCTTGAACAAATCTAAATGTTTTCATTACTATAGGAACAATACAGACTGTGAATCATATATTTACGGTTTCTCAGCATGAGTCATAATAGAGCTATTTTCCTTCATCAATATTTAATTGACCTTTAAGGCGCATTTCTACTGATCTTACCTGCTATTTTCAATGACTGCATAGTGTATAAGACCTCAAGAGCATAAAACATTCGATTTTCCATTGCTCCCATGGAAAAAAGCTGTTAATGTGTTTTGGGAGCACAAACATTGAGATAAGAGATCTAACTGTGTCTCTGGGGCAGTGATGAATATGGAGCAGCTCAGTTATTTGTTAGTGCACAAGTGGTATGCTTTAGATGATATGTGATAAATTACAGTCAGATTGGATCATGCAGACTAGCAATGAAAGGCTGACAGTGGCATTTCAGGTTGGCAATGAATCTTCCCTTATCGAGTGCACAGTCATCCATTAAGAGCTGATAACTTGTTTTTGTTTTTCCAGTTTTTATTTGTTTTTCTATCAGTATGAGTTTAACATGCATGATGATGACCCTTCTTTTAGGACACCTAAATAAAATCACAAGTGTCTGCTGAGCAAGTCGACGTGTGTTCCATTCATTTAAGTATTGATTATGACATAAATCTGGATGTTTTTGTTGCAATAAGAATAATTCTCCTAGATTTCCTTAATTTCCTTCTATATGGTGTCATAAGTCTGAGGAACCCGTGCCCATGTTTTTATAATATTTGGATTTTGAGATGGTGCTTTAGAGGCCCAAGAAGAGATTTTGTAAGGGCATTTTGGTTTTTGTAAGTATCTCTTTGGTTGCTAAGGTGTTCTGACTGGTTGCTAGGGTGTGTCTATGAAGTTTTTAGGATATTTCTTAATGTTTTCTTTCTGGTCCCCCTCAAGTTTCTGTGACATTTTGATATGGAAATATGAACCCTCTGACCCCCTTTCAATTTAAGTCTTTTTTTTGGGCATTTCGTCACCAAGCAGGCGTACAGTACATCCATCCATCCAATCTTTAATAAAAGTCATAGATCACCTCTCCTCAATAAGCTGTTATTCATGGCTGTAGCACAAACAGTAGCACAATGAGTTATGTGCTTTAGTTTTGGGTGACTAAATAATAATAATAATAATAATAGTGATGCTCTGCCAAGTCACTATATCCAATAATAGAGCCTGTGATTTTCTTTTCAAAGCATGAGTCTGAATATAGCCATTTCCCCTCATCAATATTTCATTGACATTTATGGTACATTTCTAGTGATCTATCTGCTTGATCGGTTTAATTTATGATGCTGGTAGTAACTGCATTTCTTCTTAATATTTTCCATAAGGCTCAATGAGGTGTTCAGTGGCTGCATAGTTCTTAACACTTCATGAGTGTAAAGCCGTGGATTTTTTCATCGCTGCCATGGAAAAAGCGGCTAATGTGTTTGTAGGAACACAAACATTGAGATAAGAGATCTAATTGTGTCTCTGGGGCAGTGATGAATATGGAACAGTTCAATTATTCGTCAGTGCACAAGTGTAATATCTGTCAGTAGGCCTACCTGTGTGCCCTGATTTACTTTCCTTAGAAGTATAACTCCTTGCTTGAGACTGGGCTCTTCCAGTGTAACAGATTGGCGAATCAGGGAATCGGAACCTTGAATATTTGCATATAAATTTTCTGGGTTCTCGCACTCCATAAAATTTTGAACGCAGTGGAAAAACGAGTTGAAAATTAAAGTCCTTTATGCATGAAGAGCTGCAAAAGGTGAACATGGCATTCAAATAGAAGGAATAGAATAGAAATATGAGGCAGAATCGCAAATATAAACCAATCATTAAATCTAAGCCGTCCACATTAGGACTCAACACTTTCATAGGAATGATATGACATTTGAAAACCTTCCAAACCTGATATGTCTGGCAGATTGCCTTCAAAACTCTGCCGCTCCAAAAAAGAGGGATTTCATCAAAATTACATCAGAATGCTATTGTAGCATTGAATTCACTAGCGGTCTGGCTTACCTCTGAGTGCAAAACAGTTTATTTTAGACGTAATCACATCACCATATTATAATTTCAGTGTCACTCTTCGTGTTTACATTATTCATGTTATGTGAATCTCAATCTGCACACAAAGTTGCTCGTACTGTCTTTACATGTATGGTTGCGTATTCACAGATATACATTTTGTCAGTATGTGTGTGTTTGAACCGAAGCAATGACCTTGGCGTAGTTAGTGCACTGCGCTACCAGATGGATTTTGTAACATGTAGAGCTTGACCGCTTTTATTAACAATCAGCATGTTTTGATGTTGGCAAGGCCGTGTGTTATTTTGTCTGAGAATCAGAGAGCATTTCTAAAACTCAGAGTCTTGGAGAGAAAAAGAGATTCAGAGTTTGGCTTCAGCATGTGGAGTACACAAGAAAAGGACAAAGCAGAAAGACAGCAGTGACAAATAAGGGTAGGTCTGTAAAAGCAGGCTGAGATTAATGCTGGCCTTTTCAGAGAAAGCACAGAGTTATCCCAGAGCTAAATAAATTGGGTTGCTGATCTGGAATAGATGCATAACTTAGGATTTCATGCTGCGACCTAAGAACATCAAGCTTGGGGGAAAGCAAAGGCGTTCTCTTTTTCTGCATCACTGCCGTTGTTCGGGGAGCAAAGCGGAACATTGAAAACACTTGGCTAAGTGGACCACAGCTGTTAGATCTGTCTTAGTCTGTTGTTTCCTGAGATCTAGCTTTCTTTTTGTCTTTTTTGTCTCAATGTGGCTTCTCAAGGAGCATGCCAATCTTCAAGCCAGAATGCCATGCAAATGCTCAACTTAATTTAAACGTTAATTACCCAGCATGCATCATTAGCGTTGGTGTGATGAGCGGCAGGGAGGGATGAGGGAAAAAGAAAGGGAGGGGACGACAGGAAAGAGCTGCATTTGGAGGTAAGATGGGCCCTGTAAGTGGCGCTCTCTCGCCAGCTGGTCAGATGGCACCAGTCTCTCCCAGGGGTCAGTTCTGGCCAATCTGCACAGGAATAACACTGGATGCTCTTCTACACGCACACACTTGCACAGCTGTAGTTCTGCTCGGATGCATTTCTGAATCATGAAGTTCAGAACAAGTATTAACACATTAGTAACCCCCCAAAATAAGATTTTGTCATCATTTACTCATCCTCATGTCATTACAAACGTTTACAACTGTCTTTTTTCTGTGTAACACAAAAGTAGAATTTTTGAAAAATGCCACAGTGTTTTTTGGTCCATATACAATATCTTCTTTTGTGTTCCACAGCAGACAGAAATTTAAACAGGTTTGGAACAGCAGAGTAAACGATGACAGAACTGTGAACTTTCCCTTTAACTTATACATGCAAAGTCATAGATACACATGCACGCTCCCACCACAAATAGAGTGTATTTTCTCTTCTCAGTGTGGCTGATTGCTTGGTGTTATGAGCCTCGTGCTGGTGGTGGAGCTGTGGGACCCTGCTTGTATTTGCTGACCGTCTACGAGAAGTGGGCTAGTCCCTGAGATTCAGTCTCAATTAAATTGCTCCAGCTCCAGAGAGAGAAGGATTCTGGGACGCTGTCCTCCAGCTTTCCTTCTAATTGCCTGCGCTGGGTCCCGGCGAGCTGAAAACTGGCTATTGGGTGAACAGGGAGCTCATGGTGATTGGGTACGAGCGTGTGTAGGTGTTTGCATGGCCGTATGTTACCGAGCGGCGGATCGTGACTGTTCCCTTGTATGATGCATGTCTTTCTTTAGAAGTGAATGCGAGTGAATGGATGTAATCACAGTGTTTACAATGGCATGCTACAAGATGGATTACTTCCAGTAGGCCGGGAGACAGAACCCGCCTCTCTGGGTGAGAGATTGAATGTAGCGTAGTCAGAAAGCATCATGTTGGAATCCTGTCCTCCATCTTTCTAAACATTCTCAGCCAGTGGTTCAAAAACCCAGAGAAGTCTCTGAAACATCTATGCCACGTTATTATCAAACAAGACTTATTGTGTAGACCTTGCAGCACTGTCACTCACTGACCTCTGGTTTTGTGCTGCACTGAACTCGCTGTGCTGAAAAGAAGCTAACCACATGGAAGCAGCAAACATAACTCATTCCTGTCCTCCTTTAGGTACACCTTACCATATCACCTTTTTAAGGGCAACATCTCTGCAGTATATGCTGCTCTGACCTTTTGCCGTTGTAGGGCAACGCCATACTCCATGTTTCATTAAAGAGGACTCTAAACATTGTCTCAGTCAGCTTGCCATTTGTACATCTTGGAGTAAAGACATTGTCTGATGACCTGCGATGATTGGATCAAGCTACAAGCTGCTAGCAGCTCTCTCAGAATCTTGGAAAGAAGCAGCATACATCTTATCTTTCCGGCTTGATCTGTGGAAATACTCTGTCTGACCTTCTGTGGTGACCAATCAGTGGCTTTAATAGAACTCGGGGCCGGGTACAGAACACTGCCAAGACTACACTGCAAAGGTCTAGATCAGCAAGGCCACACTTAGATGAGTCTTGAAGAATCTGGCCTGATACTTGCAGCAGACATGTTTTTGGAATGCTGCTTCATTTTTTTACGCCATTGTGTTTTTAGGAAACGGGCATCGATTGGAAACAGAGGTAGGCAGCTCCTTCCTGCAGAGCTTAGCTCCAGTTCTAATTAAACACACCTGTCTGTATTTCTAAAAGGTTTTGGTTGGGTTTTTCAGGTGTGTTTGATTAGGATTGGAGCAAAACTCTG